CAGTCATCTTCCAATTTTCCCCTCTATTTTGTCATCCATCTCTTCACTTGGGAAGTTTTTCCTTCTTAGATGTTATACGCAGCTTCATACTCTTCAACATTCATCATCTGGGCCTACATGTAAAATTTGAGCATCCTCCTGTGAATAGCTTCCTCAATAGGTAGGTATCAAGGGCTGATCCTGGTGGTCTGACAAGACCCTGTACTGGGGACACAACAGCTCATTTCCTCTCACAGAACAGGGTCAGAACGTCATGGTGCTTCCCACACAGGGATATTTCTTCCTAAGTTTACTCTGGCTCCCTGAGGTGGGGATCTGCTGGACAATCTCAATCATGTGACATAATTGGGGGTTCCTTTTCAAGATCCTGTCAGGGCAGTGGCGGAGGCAGACAGGACAGGGAAAGGTAGACCTTCCCAGTGCTGGAGAATGCAGGAGTTGTTTCCACACTCAATGGTCACTGGGTCTCTCAGGTAATCCAGGAAGATAAGACAGCTGGCCTCTGCTTGGAGCTCAGCCAGGGAAACTGCAAAGGCCATTGTGCAGTGAAGGTATCTGTAGGAAGAGACTCTTCCATCAGTGCGATCCTTCAGGAGCAAGGAAATGTTTGGCTTTTGACTCCTTCCCTGTGGAAGTCAGTAGGAGCTTCCACACACAATCCCAGTGGCCAGCCGATGTCCAGTCTTCCTGTCACCTTCTCCTTCTGTATTTAATATCAGGTTGCCCCAAGTGAAAATCAGTTGTGGACTTTGGTAAAAAAACAACAACAACAAAAAAAAAACAAGCATTATCCAAATCATATGTAGTGTCTGTGAACAAAAAGATACAGCCATTTAAAGATTCAAGCAGCATTAATCCTTCTATCCCTATATAAAGACTATGTCAGGTAGACCAAATCATTTAATCATGACAATATCTTAGGAGGAGCTAGAAGTAAAGACTATCTATTTTTAACTTTAAAGGAATTAGTCAATCTAGGCAAATTTATCATTGGTCTCAATCATTATTGAAAAAAAAAAATTCCCTCCCAGTTTGGTTCAGTGGATAGTGTCAGCCTGTGGACTAAAAGGTCCCAGGTTTGATTCCAATTAAGGGAATATGTCTGGGTTGTGGGCTTGGTCCCCAGTAACGGGTGTGCAGGAGGCAGCTAAACAGTGATTCTCTCTCATCATTGATGTTTCTATCTCCCTCTCCCTTCCTCTCTGAAATAAAAAAATACATTTTTAAAAAAGTTATGAAAAAATAAAATAAAATAAATTTTTAAAAAGTGATGTGTGCCAGTTGACTCAGTTGTTTGAGGCATGGTTCTGATGTGTCAAGATTTCAGGTTCAGTTCATGGTCAGGGCCCACTTAATAATTAAACAATGAATGCAAAAATAATTGGAACAAATCAATCTCTTTCTGTCTTTCTCTCTTTCTTCTGTTCCTCCCAGTCTAAAAACCAATATATATATATATATATATATTTTTTTTTTTTTTTTTTTTTTTTTTTTTTAAGAATGGCCAGTGTGGCTCAGTTGGTTGGAGTGTTGCCTGATGCATCACAAGGTCACAAGTTCCATCCCTGGTTGGGATACTAACAGAGGTAACTAATCAAGGTGTTTCTCTCACTGATATTTCTCTGGCTCTTTCTCTATCTCCCTCCCTCTCTAAAAATAATAAAAAATAACAATCAGATATCATAGAACTGTTGAAGGGACTATATACCATTATTTGTGAAGAAGATTTGTAAGTAAAATGAACCTAACAAATAGAGTTCCAAATTACCCATTTTCAAGAAATATAAGGGATAGAGAAAGATGTGAAGGATGAACTGGTCAGCTTTATACGCCAACTTCATTCAGCCACTAGATGCCCAGATAGCAGGGGAAACACTACTTCTGAGTGTGACTGTGAGATTTCTGGAGATTAGAATTTGAATCAGTAGATGAGCAAAGCAGATAGGCCTCCCCATTGTCAGTGGGCATTATCAAATCCACTGGCATGAACAGAACAAAACCTGGGAGAAGGCTGAATTCACTCTCTGCTGGACTGAATAAGGTAGCACCCCCACCTCCTGTCCTGGGTGCTGCTGGTTCTCAGCCCCTCAGACCCTCTCTGGAATCTGAACCATCTGCTCTCAAACTCTTAGGCCTTCTAACTATACCACTGTCTTTCCTGGGTCTCCTGCTTGCAAAGTGCAAATCACATTATCAGTGCTGTGTTATTGAAACAAAATAAAACTTTCTTCTCGGCTTACAAGTTTAACTGGACCACCTTTGCTTATCAAACATTTCTTCCTCTCTCCTTCCAGTGAATAGCCACCCACAACCTCAGAAGCTCCTGACCCCTAGCCTGTTTCACTTCTCAAATCTTTGTGAAATTCCTACATATAAAAGAATGTAATTTAAAATATTTTATCTACCTGCCGAGACCGGTTTGGCTCAATGGATAGAGCGTTGGCTTGGGGACTGAAAGGTCCCGGGTTCCATTCCGGTCAGGGGCATGTACCTTGGTTGCGGGCATATCCCCAGTGGGGGGTGTGCAGGAGGCGGCTGATCGATGACTCTCTCTCATCGATGTTTCTAGCTCTCTATCTCTCTCCCTTCCTCTCTGTAAAAAATCAATAAAATATATTTAAAAAATAAATAAATAAAATAAAATATTTTATCTACCTATAAAAGAATGTAATTTAAAATATTTTATCTCTTGTTAATCTGTTGTATGCAGTTAGATAAGAGCAGAGAAAGATTACCAAGTACAGAAGGTCATCAGGGTGGAAAGCCCCACAGGAAGGTACAATAAATTGTAGGATGGGACCCTGGCCCCAGGGTGACTTTTCCTTACCTAGTGAAATGCCGATTAAGCAGTTTGGACCCCCTGACCTTTCCTCCCAACAGATAACATTTAATCCTTTAGGACAGAGGACCCTCCTAAGAGCACCTCAATTTGTGAGACTGGACATAGAGAATGGGAAGTGGACTCGGAGTATGCCCTCAATTCCTGCTGCCTCCCTCAGGGGTAGAATGGACATGGGAATAAAAGAAGCTGTTGTGGAAGGCAGTGTTTGGGTGGTCTGAGAATGAGTGTTAGATGGGAAAGGCTGTTTTGGAGCTCACATTCTCAGGATTTCAGGAAGATCAGAAAGTGAGAAGGGAACGGCCAGCCACTCTCTCACTAAATTAGGTTGCTGGCAGTCATGGGAGTGGAGATTTGGCAGAGAGCACAGGGGAAGGCGGGCGGTTAGAATTCTCAGAGGTAGAGTGTGGGGTGCAGATTCTGCGGCAGGGTTGTAAGGGATAAATCATATATGAGTATTAATTCCAATAATGCTGGCAGTATGGGAGAGCAGCAGGTCATCCACAAAACTCTGCTTTGCCGCTCCCCATAAACCAGCTGCTTATTTTGGGTAGAAGGACAAAGATTATGAGGGAAAGGAGGAAGTACAGGAATAGGAAAGTAGGCATGGGATAATCATTTCAGATGACTAGTCATGCTGGTTGGAGCGGAAATTGCAGATGGTGTGAGTCTCCTGGTGCCCAGGACTAGTTTATAGATAATAGGGGTGGGGAGTGGTAAAGAGCAGGAGCCTCCAGGACTAGATTGTTTCAGCCACAAGGTTATAAATCTTTCCTATGAAGTTGAGTTTCTCTTTATACAAAATAAATGTAAAACCTCCAAAACTGCAAAGAATGTATTTTTCTTTGTAAATAATTTTTATGAGGCAAACTGAGGACATATGCTTGGGAGCAGAAACTCAAACACTCCACAGAAGAAGAGTTTTGCAGTTTCATTTATACTTTTGAAATTAAGGAGAGAAGGTAGGAAAATTACATGACCGTGTGTTAGCCTAGATGCACAGAAACAAAGATGGGGCTTGCCTGAGGCAAAGATAAGCCTTTTAGTGAAGAAGTTATACGTATAGCCCTGGCCAGGTGGCTCAGTTAGTTGGGATATCATCCGGCGCACCAAAAAGGTTGCAGATTCCATCCTCTTGTAGGTAAGGGAGGCAATCAATGGACAGTTCTCTCCCTTCCTCTCTCTAAAATCAATAAAAACATTATCGGACGAGAATGTACGTATGAGTGTAAAGCATATATACGTTATATGCTTGGGACCTGACTACCCACCATGACCTGCCCTGTTAGGAATTTATGATCAAGATCATCCTGTGAGGTTACCATCCCTAGAACCCTCTTATGCTCTTTTTTCTCTTCGCCAACAAAAGTCATAGTGATGGTGTTTATAATGGAAGAGGATATTTACTATCGTAGTAACAGACATAAAATAGCTATTCCATAAATAATACTAGCATTAGGTCAGTGCCCATGACAAACAAATGAGTAAGAAATTAATAGATTAAAAAATAAAATTGCCTGGCTGGTGTGTCTTAGTGGTTGAGCGTGGACCAATGGACCAGGAGGTCACTGGTTTATTCCTGGTCAGGGGATATGCCCAGGTTGTGGGCTTGATCCTCCTTAAGGGGTGTGCAGGAAGCAGCTGATTAATGTTTCCTTCTTATTGATGTTTCTATCTCTCTATCTCTGCCCCTTCCTTTCTCTCTATAATCAATAAAAATTAAAAAACAAACAAACAAACAAACAAACAAACAAAAAACACCTCAGAGTATAAAGAGACTTCAGGAGTTATTTATTCCAAAACCTTATTTCTAGTGTTCTCTTATAAAAAAAAAAAAAAAAACAAACAAAAAAAAAAAAAAACAAATGTTATCCTCTATAGACTGATGGAAGTGCATAGAATGTGCACAGTACGCACATTTTTACTGGATGTGTCAACAAAAAATAGAGTAAAAAATTTTCCAACATTCTGGATTTTATGGAAGGAAGGGGCCAGCATCCACAACTCGCTCCCCCCTATTTTCCCTTAACAATAAAAGATGCCTGGATTCCAGACACTCTTAAAATGGATTTGAGAATTGGTTCTCCCATCTCCTTCCTCAATAAATCTGTCCTTGCTCCAAACTCTGATGTTGAATAGTAACCTTTAAAAAGAAAAAAATACTAGTATGTAATGCTTCACGAATTTTCTTATCCTTGCACCAGGGCCATGCCAATCTTCTCCGTAGGGCTCGAGTTTCAGTATAGGCGCTGCCCAAGCGAGCACTGGCCTTTCTTCCTCAGCACCGGGCACGCCCGCCTGGGGCCTGTGACAGCCCCTCCGCACCCACAGGCCGCCCTCTCCCGGGGGCGGGGACAGGAGAAACGGTGCGGCGGAGCCTGGTCTGCTGCGCGGGAACCTGTGGAGGCTGAGAACCGCAGGATGGTTTTGTGAAGCACCAAACGAGACAAGGACAGGCTGTGGAAACACCTCCTTCAAGGGCAGAAGCTATTTTTTAAAAAAAAATGTTTTTATTGATTTCAGAGAGGGATGATAGAAACATCCATGGTGAGAATCATTGCCTGCCTCCTGCACGCCCCCTGCAGAGGGAGATGGAGGCCGCAGTGGGGCGTTTAGAACATGCTTCTGTTTGGAAGTCTGTATGTGTATTGCTTATAGTGATGGCAGAATGGAACGCAGGCCGTCCCTTGATCCATTAAGCCAAACCGGGCAGGGCAGAAGCCATTAAGAGTACCCCTCACGAAACAGGCTGAGACTTTAAGGCAATTTCTTTTTGAAAAAACAAACAAACAAACAAACAAACAAACTTTATTGCGGAAAGTATTTATTTCATGTGTCCCCATTCCCCTTCCCCCTATTTTTCCCTATTGCCCATCTCCGTCCTCCGCCCCCCCCCCCCATTCCCGTCGTCCCCCGCTAATCCCCTTGGCCTTCACCACCCTATAGTCTGTGTCCATGGATGGCGCATGGATGCCTACACGTTGTCGTGTTGATCTCTTCCCACCCTCCCACCCTAGGCAATTTCATTTGAGATAAACAAAATGGGGGCTTTTCAAGATATTCAAGCACGGATTGAACCAGACACTGACGGAACTGGAGTGGGTGGGGGGGGGATGAACCGCCACAGAAATCAGAGGTGGAAAGTCAGAGAGGAAGGTGGAAAATGTCATAGAGAGGGCCTGTCACCTCCCAGGCGCTGGCCCTACAGAGAGTGCAGTGGACCAGTTCCCCGTGAACCGGAAGCTGGGGCAGCGTCGCGCCCTTTGACCCGGAAGTGGAAGAGGCTGGCTTCGCAGTGCCGGAGAGGAGCTCACGGCGCCTCCTGGGCCTTGAGGACACAGCTCCGCTCCGCCCTCAGCGCTGAGCAGAGACCGGGCAGCGCGGGGAGGTGAGCGGGTCCCAGGCCGCGGGAGGCGGGACTCAGGAAGGACCGGACCGGGCGGGGCCGCGGGGCCTGGCGGGGTGGGGGTGCGGCCGGGCGACGGCCCTGAGGCCTCTGGAGGCGAGTGAGAACGGCCATGGCGGAAATGGCCGTCAGCGCCCTGTGCGGGGTGCTGGCGGCCGGAGGTTCTCATTGGATAGTTTGTTTTCTGTTTTTATTTTATTATTTTATTTCACTGGGTATCTTAGAGCAGGTTCTCTGGCGGCAGAGTGGATACTTTAGTGTTTAACATGTGAAACTGCCGACATGTTAGAACATGCTTCTGTTTGGAAGTCTGTAGGTGTATTGTTTATGGTGTTGGGAAATAGAGCTTGACTTTGCATATCAATGTCCTGTGTGTCGGTCTCCGTATCTTGAAAAGGTGCTCAGCCGGGCTTTCGTTGAGGGACGAGGGACCACTGCACTGACCAGAGTGGCCCTGTGACCTCAGGGGCTCATTCTTGCCAAGCGCAGGGTAGGTCATCAGGGCGCTGCTCCATTACCCACCCAGGGATCTAACTCCTCAGTCATGGGTTATCACAGCAAAGGGTCACTCTAACTGAACAAAAGAGGGAGCACACTGAGACTTGAAGGCCAACACTACGAAGTGACACGCATTTTCTTGTATTCCATTTTCTAAAACCGATTGTAAAGTCCCACTTACCTGCAAGTGCCAGGTAAAAATACATGCATACAAAAATTCAAGAATACATGAGTGAAAAGCTTCTGTTTGCATAATTTCTGAATCCAATTAAATTTTTGTTAAATTTATATTAACGATGAGTGCCAGAATTAAAACTCTCCACTTAGAACTTGTAAAGAAATTAACAGAAATTTACATTATTTTGGCTTAATTGTATGGCAGTTGTTCAATAACTTTCCTCAACATTGGAAATATTTCTCTTAAGTAAAATAAGGGGCCAGGATGGAGCCTACAACCAAAGTACATGCCCTTGACATGAATCGAACCTGGGAGCCTTAGATCCACAGTGAAGCCTCAATACTCTAACATCCTGCATTTGTAATATTCATTAGAGAAGGAATCATTTGGAGTAAAATCTAAATATAATGGAATGAATGGGGGACGAGGAGCTCAGTTGGTAAAGATTTCTGTGGCTATGTTGCCTAAGAGCTGTTTTTAGAGAGAGTGGAAGGGAGGGGGAGAGACAGAGACAGACACATAATCAGGGCCAGGGTGGAGCCTGCAACCAAGGTGACATCCCTTTGACTGGAATGTAATCCAGGGCCAACACTCTATCCACTGAGCCAAACTGCCTTAGCACTGTTTTTTGCTTTATAGGACTCACTGTTTTACAGGTTAATAGCATATAATAAATGTTTGAATATTTTTTTAATGTGGGTGATGTCAACTATAATTGAAAAATAAAGTATGTGGGGGGGGGGAAAGTATTTGGTTAATTTTTTAGTAATCTATATGAATATCAATTCGCCTAATAAGTAATCTGCCAAAAATAAATTGTGAGGCAGAATTTTAAAGCTCAAAGAATATTTTTCAAAGAAAGTAACAATTAGGCTGGGATCTGAAGAAAAATGCCAGTACAAAGGAAGTAAACAGTGTGTAAGGGATAAGGAGCTGCCATGGACAAAACCTGCTTGTGTAAAGTTCTGTGGTAGGGGATGCCATAACCTGAGTATGGAGAGAGAGGCCAGGACTGCACAGAGGGTGAAACTGGAGAGTTCCAGAGTTGTATGTTTTTGGGTGAGAAAAAGAGCAGGTCTCCTTTCAGATTTATTCTTCTTCAGCAAAGATGGGATTAAAGGTGTTGAGAGGCTGGAAGAGGTTAATGGGGGGAAGGGGGATGGGGAGGAGTACTTATGAAATACTTTCAACAATGAAGAATTATTATTATTTTGTTTAATCCTCATCAGAGGATATTTTTCCATTGATTTTAGAGAGAGTGGAAGAGAGAGGAAAAGACAGAGAAACATCTATGTCCAAGGAACACATCGATTAGTTAGCTCCTGAACACACTCTGACTAGGCCCCAGGCAGGGGAGGAGACTGCAACCCAAGTACAAGCCCTTGACCTGAATTGAACCCGGGATCCATAGGTCCGGAAGGCCCACACTCTATCCATTGAGCTAAACAGGATAGGGCTCACTAATTGTGCTTACCAACTTCAAAGGCTAGTGTGTGTGTGTGCTTTTCCCAGCTTTTCCTAACTTAGAATTCCTGATCTTGAATTGCATTCTATGAATGTGATAATTCAGTTTTCCAACGTGAGGAGGTGTTCAAAGTGAATCTAATCTGGTCTAGTTCCCACCTACTTAAGTACAGAGTTGGATATACCCTGCATTTGAGAAGTGTAAATGTAAAAAGCAAGTAAATCTTTTTTTTTTTAAATATATTTTATTGATTTTTCACAGAGAGGAAGGGAGAGAGATAGAGAGCCAGAAATATTGATGAGAGAGAAACATCGACCAGCTGCCTCCTACACCCACCCCCACCGGGGATGTGCCCGCAACCAAGGTACATGCCCTTGACCAGAATCGAACCTGGGACCTTTCAGTCCCCAGAACAACGCTCTTCCACTGATCCAAACCAGTTTTGGCAAAAGCAAGTAAATCTCTTTTTTTTTTTTTTTTTTTTAAGTAAATCTTAATATATAGTGAAGCCTTGGTACTCTAACTTACTTCATTCTGGAAGAATATTTGAAAAGGGATTTTTTTCAAAAATAATATAGAAATAATAAAACTAGAAATAGTATAAATTGATTTAATATCTTTCAAACCTCCAAATGATTCTCTGTTCTAGTCTTTCTTATATATATCATACATGTCTCAGGAACTGTAATTAATCTATAAATAAACACTGCATAAATTGATCCAATCATTGAATACTAGCCTTAAATTTTTTTATATAAAACTGCCTCAGAAATTCTATCAGTAGTTAACCACTTTTCATTTATCCAATCAACAACAGTCTTTCTACCTTTTCTAATATATATATATATATTATATATATATATATATATAATATATATATAAATAATATATTTTTTTTATTTCAGAAATGAAGGGAGAGAGAGAGAGATAAACATACGAGAGAGAATCATTGATCCACTGCCTCCTCATGCCCCACACTGAGGATGGAGCCTGCATCCCAGGCCTGTGCCCTGACTGTGAATTTAACTGTGATCTCCTGGTTCATAGGTTGACACTCTACCACTGAGCCATGCCAGCCAGGCTCTACCTTTTCAATTGCCTGTGATTATTATTTTGTGAGCACTTTTACACCCTTAGCAACATTAGCACTCTCTCTCTTTTTTTTAATCCTCACCAGAGGAGGTTTTCCCATTGATTTTTAGAGAGTAGAAGAGTGAGGAAAAAACAGAAAGAAACATCAATGTGAGAGAAACACAAGGATCGGTTGCCTCCTTCACACACCCTGACCAAAGCCAAGGTTAGGGAAGAGCCTGCAAACGAGGTACATGCCCTTGACATGAACAAACCTGGGAGTCTTAGGTCCACAGGCCTACAGTCTTTCCATTGAGCCAAACTGGCTACGGCAACATTAGCACTTTTGATGATCACTTCATGTTTTATAATTGTGCTAATCATTGATTTAGTCAGTAACAAAAGCATTCTTTTCTTTGTTTTTGATCTGAGACACTTTTTGACCTGCTGAGGTGAAAACATAATTGAGCTGTCAGGTGGAAAACTGAAGTTTTGTTGACAACTGAGACATTTTCTGTGAACAATTTGGTTGAGAGAACTGAATTGTTTGGGGTGGGAGATGAGGTTTGATTCTATCATGAATTCAGTGCTAACAAAAATAACTGTTGTTTTTTGTTTGTTTATTAATCCTAACCTGATAATATTTTTCCATTGCTGTTTTTAGAGAGTGGAAGGCAGTAAAGGAATGGGATAGAGGAGAAAGAGAAAGAGAAAAATGTTGCTGTGAGAAACAAGTCTATTGGTTGTCTTCTGAATTCTCTCCCATCAGAGCAGAGCAGAGGATTAAACCTGCACCAGGTATATGTTCTTATTTATTTATTTATTTATTTATTTAAATATATTTTATTGATTTTTTACATTGAGAAGGGAGAGAGATAGGGAGTTAGAAACATCAATGAAAGAGAAACATCGATCAGCTGCCTCCTGCACATTCCCCACTGGGGATGTGCCTGCAACCAAGTTACATGCCTGTGACTGGAAGCGAACCTGGGACCTTTCAGTCCGCAGGCCTACGCTCTATCCACTGAGCCAAACCAGTTTTGGCTAGGTATATGTTCTTGAACAGAAAACCCAAGACTCTTGGGTAATCGGGTCAACACTGTAATCAGTGGCACACACTGGCCAGGGCAGAAATAACTGTATTTTAAAACAAAAAGTGCCAAATCCATTGCTGAGGTTTTTCAAAAACTGGAAGTGATGGATGCTGGGATTTTTACATTTGTTAACTTGACTCTCTTAATGTTAATGATGTTAAGAACTTTCCCTAACCCCCTAGATATTAGGTTACTAAAGCTGAAACCTAGCCCACAGACAGAGAATCTAGAAGGAAACATTCTCACACCGTTTGCAGTTCCATGCAGACCCACAGTTATTAATGTAGGTATAGGTGACCTGTAGTGCTGGGGAAAAGAAATCAATTGTTCCCTCAAAGGTGGCAGTTAACAGGGTAGGGCCACAAGGCAAATAGTAAGTGGTTCGTTTTCTTTCTTTCATGCTTTCTTTCATGCTTGCTTGCTTGCTTGCTTGCTTTCTCTCTCTCTCTCTCTCTTTCCCTCCCTCCCTCCCTCCCTCCCTCCCTCCCTCCCTCCCTCCTTCCTTCCTTCCTTCCTTCCTTCCTTCCTTCCTTCCTTCCTTCCATTTCTCTTCCTCCCACCCTCCTTTCCTCCTCCTCCTCCTCCTCCTCCTCCTCCTTCTTCTTCTTCTCTTCTTCTTCTCTTCTCTTCTCTCTCTCTCTCTCTCTCTCTCTCTCTCTCTCTCTCTCTCTCTCCTTTTTTTTTTTTTTTTTTTTTTACATGAAACTGTATTTTCTCATCTCCAGGAATCAATTGGTACCCAAGAGTCATGACTGCTTTCTGACCAAGAGAATGCTGAACTTGGATTCATATCCTCGGAGCTGCCAAGGACAGTAGTCCTCCAACTACTTTGATTGGCTGCAGGTGGACAGAAGAACTCCTCTGGGCAGCTTCCTCTGTAGCTAAGGACCTCACCGGACTCCGAGGGCTGCCCATAATTGATAGAATTTACACAGGAAAGCGAGTGAGATCTGACAGTGCATCTGCTTTTCAGTGGAGAGGTTTCACTGAAATCAACCTCCTGAAGAAACACACCTCAGTTCCATCCTTCACTCAGGCGCAATGGCAATTGAAGCAGCTCTTGCAGTACTCCAGACAGAAATCAACTGTCCCATCTGCCTGGATGACCTGAGAGACCCTGTCACCATTGAATGTGGGCACAACTTCTGTCGCTCCTGCATCCAGCAGTCTTGGGCTGTTCAGGAGGACAGGTTCCCTTGTCCTGTGTGTCGTCACCGATGCAGAGAGAGATACATGAGGAGCAACACCCAGCTGGGAAGGATGGTTGACATCACCAAGCTCCTCCAGATCACCAGGGGCAAGATGAAGCAGCAAGAAGAGAAGCGCTTGTGTGAGAAGCACAACCAGGCCCTGACCCTCTTCTGTGAGGAGGACCTACAGCTGTTGTGTGCCCTGTGCACTCAGCCCCCTGACCACCAGGGCCACCAGGTGAGGCCCATAGAGGAGGCTGCCTCTCATCACAGGCAAAGGCTCAGCAGTTACATTGGGCCCCTGAAGAAGCAAGTTGCAGACATTCAGAAACTAGTAGCCACCCAAGACAGGAGACTATCAGAACTGAAAGAAAAGGTGGAAAACAGGAGAGATAAATTAGCCTCTGAATTTGAAAATCTGATACAATCTGTAGAGCATGAACAAGAGGCAGTTCTCTCAAGGCTAGCTGCAGAAGAGAAGCACATTCAACAGAATTTCAGTGCAAACAAAACTGCATTTTCAGACCACATTTCCAAACTTAAAGTTCAACTAAAGGAGATGGCAGAGAAGAGTGTGATGTCAGATGTGAAATTGCTGATGAACATCAAAGATGTCTTCGACCGTTGTGAAAAACTAGAACCTCCAGGTGTCTATTGCTACCAGTTTAGGAGAGAAGAATTCAGTCTTCCTCCACAATGTTCAGCCCTGCAGAAAATTATACAGAGATTTAGAGAAGAAGTATTCCTGGATCCTGAATCTGCACATCCTAATCTGCTGGTGTCTGAGGATAAAAAGTCTGTGACATTTGTGAGGAAAAAGCAAAGAGTTCATCAAAATCCGAAGGGATTTGAAGTGGATCCAGTTGTCCTGGGTACTAAAGGGTTTGACTGTGGCCGACATTACTGGGAGGTCCAGGTGGATGACAAGCCTGAGTGGGCCGTGGGGGTCTGTAAAGACTCCCTCTCCGAGGAGAAAAAGCAGCCCCTGCTAAGACAGGAGAACAGATGTTGGATGATTCAGCTGCAGGATGGTGACTATGTGGCAGGAGGGTCTGCTCCTGTCACCCTTGTGCTGAAGAAAATGCCCAGAGGGATTGGCATCTATCTGGACTATGAGTTGGGTCAGGTTTCCTTTTACAGTTTGAATGACATGTCTCATATCCATTCCTTCAGGGACACATTTTCTGAAGTGCTAAAGCCTTACTTCTATATCGGATGTGATCCCAAACCTCTTACTATCTGTGCATTAAAAGATTAGGAAGGATGAACTGTCACTTCGTTTCATTTTCTTCCTGTAATTTACAGACACTAGGTAGAATTTTTTTTTGTCATAATTTTATTTTACTTTTGAATGTATTTTTATTGATTTCATATAGGACGGAGAGAGAGAGAGAGAGAGAGAGAGAGAGAGAGAGAGAGAGAGAGAGAGAGAGAGAGAGAAAGAGAGAAACATCAGTGATGAGAATCATCGATCAGCTGCCTCCTACATGTCCCCTACTGTGGATCCAGCCCCCACCTAGGCATGTGCCCTTGACCGAATCTTATACCTGAAACCCTTCAGTCCACAGGCTGAAGCTCCACTGAGCAAAACCAGTTGGACCTTATTTGTATTATACACACACACTAGAAGCCCAGTGCACTAAATTGGTGCCCATCCTGCACCCTCTCCAATCTGGGATTGTCAGGTGGGATTAGGCCTGAACTGGCAATCTGACATCCCTCTTGCAATCCAGGACCACTGGCTCCTTAACCACTCATCTGCCTGCTTGCCTGATCTCTCCTAACCCCTCTGCCTGCCTGTCTCATTGCCCCTAAGTGCCCTCCTCTGCCAGCCTGATTGCCCCTAACTGTATCTGTCTCAGGCCCGCCACAGTGGCTTTGTCTGGAAGGAGGACTGGATGACAGTGTCTAGTCAACCTGGTCTAATTAGCATATTACCCTTTTATTAGTATAGATTTATTTTAATCTACATTGTTGAAAGTAGAACATAGGTCTTTGGGTAGAATTTTGTATGACTATCAGTGATTTAGCACCAAATTTTTTTCAGTTGATTTTTAGAGAGGAAGAGAGAGAGAAACGTCAGTGTGAGAGGGGATCATTGATTGGTTGCCTCCAGATTGCACTCAGACTGAGGATTGAATCCCAGTCTGGGTATGCGCCCTGATCTGGATCAAACCTGCCCGCCCTTTGGAACATAGAAGGATGCTCCAACTAACTAGGCTTCACTAGCCTAGGTTAGCACCAAAATTTTGTAAAAAGCACTTCTATGAACACTTGGGATGTTTCTTTTTCAGCCCATTTTTCTTCAAGAGCAAGATGTGTGGGAACAAACGAAAGTGAAATATATGGAATTTTGATTGATCAATTCTTTCTAAAGTGTTTCTGAAATTTTAGGATTAGAATGTATTGTTAGTCACAGCTTCAATAAAGTTTTTGTATATTTACATCTATTACAAATTTTGTCTATGTTTCAGGATGTGGCTTTTATGCATAAGTACATCACATATTCCATGTGGGAAAGAAGATAGAATGGCAGAACTCTAAGTGGGTTTCTAATATTTTTGCATATGTTGAGAGTAAGGAACTGATTACTTCCAACTATTTTTAAAATATATTTATTGATTTCAGAGAGGAAGGGAGAGGAGGAGAGAGATGGAAAAATCAATAATGAGAGAAAATCATTGATCATCAGTCCGAACTCTGGCATGTGCCCTAGACCAGTATGAAACCCAGATCCTTCAGTCCAAAGTCCCATGCTCTATCCACTGAGCAAAACCAGCTGGAGCTTCCAACCAGTATTAAGGGTATTTTTATTTTATTATTTATTTATTTTTGTTAATTTTCACATGATGATAATGTTCCACTGATTTTTAGGGAGAGTGGTAGAGAGAGGGAAAGACAAAGAGAAACATGTATGTGAGAGAAACACATCGATTAACCAATGCACAAGTCCTGACCAGGGTCCTGCCCTTGCTCTGAATCGAACACTAGAACCTTTGGTTTGCAGGCCCAGGCTCTATCTACTGAGCCAAACCGGTTAGGGCTCAATAGAAATAACTAACTAAATAAATAAATAAATAGTGCTGAGAGAATCAAGGGAGAATAAACAGGGTGCAAATTAGACCATGCATATTAGCAGAGAGAATCCTTTCCAGCCTGATGAAAGCATTGAAAATCCTCTGACTCTAGCTCATCCCTCTCCTGTGGAGAAGGAACAACTGGACTTTAGCAGGCAATAGGTAAATCCACCTATTAACATCAGGGTCAGGTCATGCATGGCTTATGCAGTCCTGTGCCAGACTGTGTAGAAAGATCCTTATGTGAGATTTGCCTTTTCTTTTAGCATGGCAGACCTGACCTCAGCTGTCTGCCCCTGGTAAGTTGGGATATGGGACCAAGTGGGTGCAGGAGGCTGGAGTGAAGTAAGACCACTGGGTTCCTGAGGGCCTACTCTGTGCCCAGCTGAGAGAGAAATTCCTCCAAAGGGAATTCAAACTCGGAATTAGCTTATTTTTTAAATGCAATTGTGTTTTCCTGATCCTTGTCAGAACATTAAGTCACCTAAAAGCCCTTTAAAATTTTAGATATCCAGATGTGACCCCCCAGGAGTCAGGAATGAGAATATTGGTATGGGGTAAAGACAAGATCAAGGTCCTCAGACACCCACTGCTCAGTTGCCCAGAGCTGTGTGTGGTAAAAACTGCTTTCTGTGCAGCTGCCCTGGAAGGACCAGTCTGCACTACCAGAGGGAATTCGAATTCGGATTCAGGTTATTTGAGGATACGTGCTTTCATTATGGGGAGTCTTGTACTAAGTCATAGAATGCTTGCTAAAATTTCTGAAACCAGGATCCCAACTGGAACTTAGCGGGTGACAAAGGCCTCATGGAACTGGTCTGGAGCTGCATGTGGACTTGCTTCCAGTATGTCTCTTCTCAGGGAAGCCGAGTTCATGTGCAGGCTGAGATAGGTGGCAGTGTTTGTATACAGGAGGGCAGGGGAGAGGTTAGAGCCATGGGCCTGAATCCCTGTTGCTCAGAACCGATATTGATTCAACTTCTTTAATTGGCTTGGAGAGAGCCTCCCACAATATAAGGAGGTGGCCCAAAGTCTCTCAGAGGCCTGGCAAATATTTTCATTATTTAACAACTTTAATCAAGGACTTAGGAGATAATTGGAGATATAGCTATTGCAAGGATCACAAAGAGGTTACAGTAATGGGAAATGAGATCTTCCAAATGTGTGTTAATTTGTAATATGAGTTGAAAAAAATTCATGATACTGCATTTACTGTTCCTTGACACTATGGCAACCAGAAGACCCAACATGGAGGTCACTTCAGCCTCTTCTTGGTCTCAACTTACATCAGTGCTGATCATAAGGGAAAGCTCAATTGTCTTTACTAGTTATAGCTCACCAAATTCAAAGGCTAGTTTGTGAGTGTATGTATATGTGTGTGTGTTTCTGCTTTCCAGGTTTTTCTCACATTGAATTTCTATTCCTGAATTGCATTCTTGCATGTGATAAATCAGTTTTCCTAGATGGGTTGGTGTTCAGAGTAAATCTAATCTGGTCCAAATTCCACCGACTTAGGCACACAGTTGAATATACCCTGCATTTAAGAAGTGTAAATGAGCCGAAACCGATTTGGCTCAGTGGATAGAGCGTTGGCCTGCGTCCTGAAAGGTCCCAGGTTTGATTCTGGCCAAGGGCATGTACATTGGTTGCGGGCACATCCCAGTAGTGGGTGTGCAGGAGGCAGCTGATGGATGTTTCTCTCCATCCCTCTTTCTTCCTATCTGTAAAAAATCAATAAAATATATATATATTTTAAAAGAAGTATAAATGAAAAGCAAGTAATTTTTTTAATATATATATTTTATTGATTTTGTACAGAGAGGAAGGGAGAGAGATAGAGAGTTAGAATCATCGATGAGAGAGAGTCATCGATCAGCCGCCTCTTGCACACCCCCCACTGGGGATATGCCCGCAACTAAGGTACATGCCCTTGACCGGAATCGAACCCGGGACCTTCCAGTCCCCAAGCCAACGCTCTATCCATTGAGCCAAACCGGTCCCGGCAGCAAGTAATTTTTGATATATAGTGGAGCCTAACTTAATCTATCCTGGTAGGCTGTTGGAAAAGCCTACTTGTTTAAAAACTGAATCATATTTCTCCCATTAGAAATAATGTAAATTGAATAAATACCTTCCAGGCCCTCAAATGATTCTCTGTTCTAATGTCTCTTATATACACAGTACATGTCTCATGTAGTATTTAATCTATAATTAAACACTTCTTAAATTGATCTCAATCACCTATTTTTAAAGGATTTTTATAGAAAGCTGACTTAGAAATGCTATCACTGGCTTTTGTTGATCTAATTAACCAGTTTTTCTACCTTTTCAATTGCCTGTGATTGTTGTTTTGTGAGCACTTTCACACCCTCAGCAACACTAGCACTCTTTATTTCTTTTTTTTTTTTTTTACTCCTCACCTGAGGATATTTTCTCATTTGTTTTTAGAGAGAGTGGAAGAAAGGAACACACAGAGAGAAACCTGGACTTGAGAGAAACATACTGATTGGTTGCCTCCTGCGTACACCACCACCAGGGCTAAGGCAGGGGAGGACCTGTGAACCAAGGTAGGTGCTCTTAAATGGAATGGAGTCTGACTAACCCTTAGGTCTGCAGGCCAATGCTCTACCCACAGAGCCAAACTGGATAGGGCTCAACAATAAAGATTTTTTAAAAAATTTTTATTATTTTTTAAAATATATTTTTATTGATTTTTTACAGAGAGGAAGAGAGAGAGAGAGAGAGTTAGAAACATCAATGAGAATCATTGATTAGCTGCCTCCTGCACATACCCTCCTGGGGATATGCCCGCGACCAAGGTACATGCCCTTGATCAGAATCGAACTGGGACCTTTCAGTCCACAGGCTGATACTCTATCCACTGAGCCAAACCAGTTTTGGCTAAAGATATTTTTTTAAGTGAGTACGAACGTAGATGGTTTGGCTCAGTGGATAGAGTATCGACCTGCACACTGAAGGGGTCCCAGGTTCGATTTTAGTCAAGGGCAACAGAAGGCAGCTGATCAATGTTTTTCTTTCATCCAGTTTCTTACTCTCATCTCTCTCCCTTCCTCTCTGTCAAAAATCAATAAAAGACAATTCAGGATAATTGTTAAAAAAAAAAAAAAAGAGAGAGAGAGAATACCTACGTAGGTTAATACCTGGTATTGAGAGGATCCAGAGAGAATAGCCAGGGGTCAAATTAGATCAAGCATATTAACAGCT